CCAGGACTAACCCTGTTTAGCTTTAGAAGCAAAACAGCAGTGGGATGCAGGGTGCTATATTGCTGGAATGAATGTGTCAAAAAGAGTGGTGCAGTGGTCTGAGGCAGTACTAGCTGTGCCACTAGAGATCCTGGTTCGAATCCAGGCTCTGTCGTAGCCGGCCGCGACCGGGAGACCCATGGGGCGGCGCACAATTGGCCCAGGGTAGGGGAGGGAATGGCCGGCGGGGAGGGAATGGCCGGCAGGGATGTAGCTCAGTTGGTAGCGCATGGTGTTTGCAACGCCAGGGTTGTGGGTTTAATTCCCACGGGGGGCTAGTATAAACAAAAAAAATTATGCACTCACTAACTGTAAGTCGCTCTGGATGAAAGCGTCTGCTAAATGACAAAAAATGAAAAATGAAACAAATAAATAACAAAAATTTAAATATATTAACAAATTAAAAACTTGCAATAGGAAAAAATGCACGATAACAAAGGCCAGGGTAAAATAACCAAAGATAAAAGAAAATTGCAGGAAAGAGTTTTATTTTATCACGTTATCATATAAAACAAATCACTGAAAACTATTTTTGTTGCATCAAATTTACAATTCATTTGTTCTTGTGTTTCGAAATGTTTTCCTTTAAATATTTTGCTTTCAATTTAATTATTTTTGTTTGCAATGCTTAGAATTTTGTTTGAATATTTGCTTGATATTAATGGCACAAATAATATAACACTATTACTCTACTAAAGGTGTTTCAAGCGAAAATCCTTCATTTAAACATGAACAAAGTGTATCCCTGCCACAGTTTCAGTAAAACACAGGGATGGGGCTGGAGAAATTCAACCACTCTCAAATCCATAAACAACGCTATGGATGCCAGGACTGACCACCCATTATATCAAAATTATAGTTTTAACCATGTTTTTATGCTTTATAGTGGTTGTTTACATTTACTTTGTTTACAAACATTGGAGTAAAACAAGCTTATATTTTGGGTTCTGATGGGGTACCACAGTTGAACTAAGCTCATTTATACATTATATTCTTTAAGAATCAATGGGTACATATCATTAATGTATAAGTCCAAAAATGGATGTAGCAATGAAGGATTGCCCCTTTAACAGGCAGTGGACTTTACACAGCAGAACTATGTCGCGATTTGAACGTGATCCAAAGAATGCCCCCCAAAAATGTATTCTGTCCACTGTTCTGCCAATTTCCCCAAAAATCTTTCCCTTGTCCTGCATTTGGGCTTTTTAGATGTGGTCAGTCTAATTCCACTGGTGCAAATGGTGCTACTGCAACATGTTAATACCATCTTTTCACAGGTGAGGATAATAACATTATTTTAAACCAACATGTGAACTTGCAATTCCACATGTGAAAGTGATATTTTCTCAAAAGTAAAATGTGATTTTCCCATGTGAATGTTTGTCACATTTGAAAATGCAATTCCACATGTGAAAGTGAGAAGTAAAATGTGATTTTCACATGTCAATGTTTTTTACATGTGAAACTGCAGATCCGATTTTCACATATGAACATTATTAACACGTGAAACTGAAATTCATGTGAAATTCTCTTCACATGTGAAAAGGTGGTGTAAACATGTGAACTCTAAATTTAATACATGTGAAAATGTGGTTTCACGTGTTACATTTAAGCTCAACATGTGAAACAGCTATTTCACATGTGGAAATGTGATTTCAAACTGTACATCTGACATGTGTTTTTTTTTTGTATGGGTAGTTGCCTAGTGAATACGACCCAGTCTTGTTATACAGTATAATACATTGGACATTCCACTGATAAACGGGGTGTTTTAGATTAAGCATGGAGGACTAGTGCCTCTAACTCTCCTGGGATTTAGAATCAGTTTAACCAGCCAAGTTCAAGTTAGGTTGTCCACACTGATAAGTGTTAAGGCTACAGTCCTATATGACTTACTCATTTCCTACCAGTAAATTGCAGTACAAATCCGTTGGGAAGTTCATTTAAACATCCCTCTTTTACAACATCTCCAGAACTCTTTTAACGTTCCTTTGACTTTATCCGTGTAAAGGCGGCTCTCTCTATGGGAGAATAGAACAGTCTCTCCTCACTGTCATTCATGTACATGTATGTGGTGTATAGGCCTAATACTGTATGCCAAGCAAGCAACATTGTAATTCTGTGCAGCTGGAGTGTTCCCTTCATATAGCTGAGGAAAGGTTATACGGAAATGTTTGGTTTTTCTTTATTGTAAAAATTTTTTACATTGTAGAATAATAGTGAAGACATTAAAACTATGAAATAACACATATGGAATCATGTAGTAACCAAAAACGTGTGAAACAAATCAAAATATAATTTATATTTGAGATTCTTCAAATAGCCACCCTTTGCCTTGATGACAGCTTTGCACACTCTTGGCATGCTGCTGTTGTTGCCAGCTAGCCAGCATAAACTAGCTAGCTGAGAAGGGCTCATCAGGACGACTGACTGAACTTACTGAACTGAATCCATTCGTCTCCACTCGACTCTCAGCTGCCCGAACATACTTCATCAATTAGGGCACCAGGCGTGTCTATATAGCCTCTCCCATATACTGTAGCTGCCGACAGGCACAGTGGTCTTACAGCTCCTAGGGTAAGAGCAAACAAAGGCTTCTGGAGTGAGCATGACTGCTGATACCATTTCCACACACACAACGCAAAGGCAAGTCAATGAGTGAAGGTTTTCTCCACATAGATATGAGCAAGACAAATCATTCCTATTGAATCTTCACTGCGGTTTGATAGGCTCTGTATTATATGATTGTCGATGCTTGCTTGTTCTTTCGAAAGTCTCAAAGAAGAGTGTCATCTCAAATAAGTCTCCAGCGAATGAGCCTTGAGACATGTAATTACTGCACAGTGAAGTTTTACCGACCTCATGTGCGTTACTTGTGTTATTACTGCTTACAGAGGTGTTATGCCCTTCCAAGGTGCACCACTGCCTAGATATGCTAGGCAGGACGCTAGATACTGTAGTGCGTGCTGACTGTACCGTCAGTGGAGTAGGAGAGGGAGTGTCGAGTGACACACAGCGTTTGATTTGATTTTAGCTGCTGGTGATGGGCAGGACTTGCAAGTGTATGTTTGTAAATGAATTTGATCAAGCTATGTAGCCTATTGATTCTTTCTTGATGAATGAATTATACAAAAATGTTTTGTTGTTTCTCTATAATACTAGCCACCTAGCAATTTTATTAAGTTGGCTTTAGCTAGCCAGCTAGAATCGTTCCCAATCTCCTAACCTCATAACTAGCTACCATTTTAAGCTATCAATCAAGTTAGAGTAGCTTGTCTGAGTGTCTTAGCTGGCATGCCTGTGGGCAAGGTTGCTAGACTTGAGAAAATACTCAAATTGCTTTAATGCTTGGGTTATGATACTACATACCAGTGTGGCAGTACTAAACTCCTGAGGCATAAGGGTCGATCTAATTAGCATACAATCCCCATAAAAATCAGTATGTTTAAGCTAGAGATATCAGTTTTCTGCATTGGATGCGTCTCAATCTACCGCATCAGCTGATGTCGCTTCTACAGTGAAAGGTGACAAAGCTAGAGCGGTCTTTGTCAGACCATGAGAAAATTGTCCTTCTCAAAAAAGAATCTGTAGTGTCCGAACTGTAACTGTCCCCTCTATGGAAAGATGAGACTCTCGCAAACACGATGGTGTTCTCCATGTTGCTCTACGACTCCCACAAGTGTCTTGGGACTCGTCTGAAGTCGGTGCAGCTGATCTGCCAACTTCTGTCTATAGCGTCCAAACAGTTTGGTCTACACACTAATATGACCCCTCTGTGGAAAGGTGAGACTCTCACGAACACGTACAAGCCCACAGGCCTCACAAGACACATCTGAAGGTCCCCCGGTACCAGTTAAAAACATTTATGGAAGTACTGTTTAGTGCCAAAAATAAAGGATTAAATACATGTAAAAAAAAATTATATAATAATTGTTTCCTGATCTTTCTTATATCTCTCAGATATAGGACAGACACTTCAGAACAAACGTCCTTTTGTTTTGTTTTTGGGACAATCTGTTGTTCTATGTGGTGAATCTGTTATTTAATGCATTTGTAAGGCCAAATGTTTTTTTTCCTGCAAATAATCTTTCATATTTTTTTGGGATACTTCAAGGGGTCTTAAAATTCAAAATCAAATAGCTAAATGATCCTCGGCATGACTTTCTTAAAACAATTCCATATAGCTTAGTAGAAACCCCCCTCTCCCCCGGCTTAGACAGGGCTTAGACTCTTATGGGTTAAATAATCATTGTACTTCATTAATTAAAATGTCAATTGAACAGGTAAAGAGGTATGCTTAGATAACCTATGCAGAAAAATATACATATCCTTTACATAGAATTAGGCATAATTATTATGGCTCTAGATTGCAGGAAAAAGCTGTTTCAGGTGTTTTGTTTCAGGTTTTTGAAAAATGCTAAATTCTCTGGAGAAAGAAAACCTCCATCCTCACGTACTTCGTGACCCCTCTAAAATAATGGGTGCATGTTATCCCTGACTGCTTGTAAGCCTTGGCATGAGAATTGTCATCCAACATTGAATCTCTCTCTCCACCCCACCTTCTTTTTCCCTCTCCCCCTCCCCTCTCTTTCTCTTCCTTCCTTTCCCTCCCACACTCTCTCTTTCTCTCTGATAGGCTCCAATTATTCGTTGTTCTCAGGTGTAAAGGAGACCATTCCGCTGCCGTAGCCGTGTTCTGACGCCTTGACAACCAACAATCACTACCCTCCGTCTGTCTGCTGAAGGATACACTTGCTCGTTAAACAAACGACACCTGGACTCGGGTGTCGCTTCTGTTGAACCCCCAAATTCACCCTGTGGATGGTTGAAAACGTTTCTTCTTGAGTCTTTCGTAGGTCATTTTCACACAAAAAATGTGTATCGCAAAGATTAGACTGAACTGTTCCCCCATGTGGAGTGTGGTTAGCATGTTGACTTTCTTACTATTACCCCTTTGGGAGATGGGCTGCTCTGGCCTGAGTTTTAACTCAGTGCCCCTGCCGCCGGTCGGGACGTACCAAAGGAGCTGCGAAGGGGGGGCACACCACAGGCAGAGACGCAGTTGGGTGTGGAACCAGTTCTTTGTGCTGGAGGAGTACATGGGGGACGAGCCACTCTACGTGGGCAAGGTAAGAATTTTTCTCTCATCTGGGTTCTCTCTCAGCTGTACATTTATACAGGGAACAGGTGGATGTGTGACTGTCCTAATATGGACACCATACAGGTGGATTGGGTGAAGGGGAGCAACGATGCTGGTAGCTTATTGGTTAAGAGCATTGTGCCATTAACCGAAAGGTTGCTGGTTCTAATCCCAGAGCCGACTAGGTGAAAAATCTGTTGATGTGCCCTTGAGCAAGGCACTTAACCCTAATTGCTCCTGTAAGTCGCTCTGGATAAGAGCGTCTGCTAAATGACTGAAATGTTTAAAAAAAAAAGTAAAGTCATTCAAACACCCAACCAACACTGTAAGAGGGAATTATGCTGAAGTTATACTGTAACAACCCTAGTTGATAGGCCTCTTACAATTGGAATAGTGGTTAGGGCGTTCTTCTTTGGGCGATTGGGGCTCGCAGCCTGCTAGGGACCTCATGCTACTCCCTCCGTTCATTAAAATACTACAAGAGGTACTATTTTCAATTACTAATGCTGAATGGCACTGAGTTGGCAAATCAGAAGCATTGTAAAGCTACGTACAGCAACAGGGAGGTCTGTATGAGTTACAAAGACAGAAGGTCCTTCCACTTACCAGGTATGACACTGGCATTATAAGAATTGACAAGATTACTCTAATCCCTTAATCGACCCTACCATAGTCTATAGTAAATGAAGACGCAGCAAGGTACTTAAGCAGTGACATTTTCTTAAGACTCAAAATTGATCTCGTTTACGATCTGAATGAAAAGCCAAATAGCAACTGTATCAAAGAGGCCTCTCAAACGCGAGCGTGTACATCCTCTCATTTGATACTCTGACCCAGTCAAATAATCGCTGACGAGTTCGTTGCCATCAAAAGCTTCCTTTATCTTTCAAGTGCTTTCAGTATTCAAACAGATCTTGTAGATGTAGATGGCAGCGGAATACAGCAAAGAACACATCTCTTTCGCTTAGGAATCCGAGAGGTTTTTGGAACGCGTGTCTCTCATGGCGGGGTGAATCTAACGAGTGTGGCCTCACACGTAAATGAATCTTGAGCATGTGGACAAGGGGGAGGACACCACCACAAAGCCATGAACGTAACCATTTGTGAGCCCCTTAGTCTTTTCGGCACATATTAGCGGGGGATTTATAGAGGGACTGCCTTTAAAAAGCAATTCATTCCTTTGAAAATGGCCTATGTGGCATTGATTAGAATCAGAAACAGTTATGCTAGTGTCAAAATTGACTACAGTCGAAATAGGATAATGTTGGTCATAAAATCATACTTGTCTAAAACAGAGTTTGAAACGTCCATGCATCACAACGGGTAAATGAAGGTTAGGTTTTGCTTTGACGATGTTCATTTGCCCACTAACCTGTGGTGAACAGCTGCAGTGATTGCTCTCTATCCAATAGCATAGACAGTGAGACAGACCTGCCCAGCAGCTCCGACTTTGTTTACATAAGACAACACGTCGCACATTTTTGAACTTGAGAAATACTGCACTAAACACCTTAGTTAGATGTAAAATTGAGCAGCTAAAACATCCTCGGCAAAAATGTCAAAATTAATCTTATACTGAACAAAAATATCAACGCAACATGCAACACTTTCAAAGATTTTACTGAGTTACAGTTGATTTAAGGAAATCAGTCATTTGAAATGAATTCATTTTCCCTAATCTATAGATTTCGCATGACTGGGAATACAGATATGCAGCTGTTGGTCACAGATACCTTTAAAATAAAGTAGGGAGTGGATCAGAAAACCAGTCAGTATCTGGTCTGACAACCATTTTCCTCATGCAGCACGACACATCTCCGTCACATAGAGTTGATCAGGCTGTTGATTGTGGCCTGTGGAATGTTGTCTCACTCCTCTTCAATGGCTGTGCGAAGTTGCTGGATATTGGCGGGAACTGGAACATGCTGTTGTAGACGTCGATTCAGAGCATCCCAAACATGCTCAATGAGTGACATGTCCGGTGAGTATGCAGGCCATGGAAGAACTGGGACATTTTCAGATTTCAGGAATTGTGTACAGATCCTTGCGATTATCATGCTGAAACATGAGGTGATTGCGGCAGATGAATGGCATGACAATGGGCCTCAGGATCTTGTCACATTGCATTCAAATTGCAATTGTGTTAACTGTCTGTAGCTTATGCCAGCCCATACCATAACCCCACCGCCACCACGAGGCTCTCTGTTCACAAAGTTGACATCAGCAAACCGCTCGCCACACAACACCATGCGGTTGTGAGGCCGGTTGGACGTACTGCCAAATTCTCTAAAACGACGTTGGGGGCGGCTTATGGTACTGAACATTCAATTATCCGGCAACAGCTCTGGTGGACATTCCTGCAGTCACCATGCCAATTGCATGCTCCCTCAAAACTTGAGACATCTATGGCATTGTATTGTGTGACAAAACTTCACATTTTAGAGTGGCCTTTTATTGTCCCCAGCACAAGGTGCACCTGTGTAATGATCATGCTGTTTAATCAGCTTCTTGATATGCCACACCTGTCAGGTGGAATGGTTATCTTGGCAAAGGAGAAATGCTCACTAACAGGGATGTAAACACATTTGTGCAAAACATTTGAGAGAAATACGCTTTTTGTGCATTTGGAACGTTTCTGGAATAATTTATTTTAGCTCATGAAACATGGGACCAACACTTTCCATGTTACGTTTATATTTTTGTTCAGTGTAGATTCATTTTGGTTATTTTAAGGAAGTGAAATGGGCTTCCGCGTCTACAGTGTCTCATTTGGGACAAATATCATTAACCAAATGTGGAAAAGAGCTTCTGGACATCAGAACAGCGATTACTCACCTTGAACTGGACAAATAATTTTTCTTTAATGAGTCGGACGAGAGGGATTTTCTCCAGACACCCGACAGGGCCCTCATCCCTGTCATTCGCAGTAGAAAGAGACTGAGATATCGCGGAAGGAGATAGGGGTGCCTGGTAAGGAGCCGGCGAAGAGTGGCTAATCTGCCTTTGCCATCGGTACTATTGGCCAACGTCCAATCGCTTGATAATAAAGTGGACAAACTACAAACATGTATATCCTACAAACGGGACATTAAAAACTGTAATATCTTATGTTCCACAGAGTCGTGGCTGAACGATGACATGAATAACATACAGCTGGCGGGTTGTACACTGTATCGGCAGGATAGAACAGCAGCCTCTGGCAAGACAAGGGGTGGCGGTCTATGTATATTTGGAAGTATCTAAGGAAGTCTCAAGGTTTTGCTCGCCTGAGGTAGAGTATCTCATGATAAGCTGTAGACCACACTATCTACCAAGAGAGTTTTCATCTATATTCTTCGTAGCTGTCTATTTACCACCACAAACCGATGCTGGCACTAAGACCGCACTCAATGAGCTGTATACGGCCGTAAGCAAACAGGAAAACGCTCATCTAGAAGCGGCGCTCCTAGTGGCCGGGGACTTTAATGCAGGGAAACTTAAATCAGTTTTACCTAATTTCTACCAGCATGTTAAATGTGCAACCAGAGGGGGAAAAACTTTAGACCACCTTTATTCCACACACAGAGACGCATACAAAGCTCTCCCTTGCCCTCCATTTGGAAAATCTGACCATAATTCTATCCTCCTGATTCCTGCTTACAAGCAAAAACTAAAGCAGGAAGCACCAGTGACTCGGGCAATAAAAAAGTGGTCAGATGAAGCAGATGCTAAGTTACAGGACTGTTTTGCTAGCACAGACTGGAATATGTTCCGGGATTCTTCAGATAGCATTGAGGAGTACACCACATCAGTCACTGGCTTCATCAATAAGTGCATCAATGACGTCGTCCCCACAGTGACTGTACGTGCACAGTCAGAAGCCATGGATTACAGGCAACATCCGCAATGAGCTAAAGGGTAGAGCTGACGCTTTCAAGGAGCGGGACTCTAACCCAGAAGCTTATAAGAAATCCCGCTATGCCCTCAGACGAACCATCAAACAGGCAAAGAGTCAATACAGGACTAAGATCAAATCGTACTACACCGGTTCTGACACTCGTCGGATGTGGCAGGGCTTGCAAACTATTACAGACTACAAAGGGAAGCACAGCCGCGAGCTGCCCAGTGACACGAGCCTACCAGACGAGCTAAATTACTTCTATACTCGCTTCAAAGCAAGTAACACTAAAACATGCATGAGAGCATCAGCTGTTCCGGACGACTGTGTGATTACGCTCTCCGTAGCCGATGTGAGTAAGACCTTTAAACAGGTCAACATTCACAAGACTGCAGGGCCAGACGGATTACCAGGACGTGTACTCTGAGTATGCGCTGACCAACTGGCAAGTGTTTTCACTGACATTTTCAACCTCTCCCTGTCTGAGTCTGTAATACCAACATGTTTCAAGCAGACCACCATAGTCCCTGTGCCCAAGAACACTAAGGTAACCTGCCTAAATGACTACCGACCCGGTCTGTAGCCATGAAGTGCTTTGAAAGGCTGGTCGTGGCTCACATCAACACCATTATCCCAGAAACCCTAGACCCACTCCAATTTGCATACCGCCCCAACAGATCCACAAATGATGCAATCTCTATTGCACTCCACACTGCCCTTTCACACCTGGACAAAAGGAAAACCTATGTGAGAATGCTATTCATTCACTACAGCTCAGCGTTTAACACCATAGTGCCCTCAAAGCTCATCACTAAGCTAAGGACCCTGGGACTAAACACCTCCCTCTGCAACTGGATCCTGGACTTCCTGACAGGCCGCCCCCAGGTGGTAAGGGTAGGTAACAACACATCCGCCACGCTGATCCTCAACATGGGGGCCCTCAGGGGTGCGTGCTCAGTCCCCTCCTGTACTCCCTGTTCACTCATGACTGCATGGCCAGGCACGACTCCAACACCATCATTACGTTTGCAGATGACACAACAGTGGTTGGCCTGATCACCGACGACAACAAGACAGCCTATAGGGAGGAAGTCAGACACCTGGTCGTGTGGTGCCAGGACAACAACCTCTCCCTCAACTCGATCAAGACAAAGGAGATGATTGTGGACTACAGGAAAAAGAAAGCACGCCCCCATACTCATCGACGGGGCTGTAGTGGAGCAGGTTGAGAGCTTCAAGTTCCTTGGTGTCCACATCACCAACAAACTAACATGGTCCAAGCACACCAAGACAGTCATGAAGAGGGCACGACAAAACCTATTCCCCCTAAGGAGACTGAAAAGATTCGGCATGGGTCCCATATCCTCAAAAGGTTCTACAGCTGCACCATCGATAGCATCCTGACTTGTTGCATCACTGCCTGGTATGGCAACTGCTCGGCCTCCGACCGCAAGGCACAACAGAGGGTAGTGCGTATGGCCCAGTACATCACTGGGGCCAAGCTTCCTGCCATCCATGACCTCTATACCAGGCGGTGTCAGAGGAAAGCCCTAAAAATTGTCAAAGACTCCAGCCACCCTAGTTTTAGACAGTTCTCTCTGCTACCGCACGGCAAGCGGTACCGGAGCGCCAAGTCTAGGTCTAAGAGGCTTCTAAACAGCTTCTACCCCCAAGCCATAAGACCAATCAAATGGCTACCTAGACTATTTTACGCTGCTGCCACTCTCTGTTTATTATCTATGCTTTAATAACTCTACCTACATGTACATATTACCTCAATTACCTCGACTAACTGGTGCCCCCGCACATTGACTCGGTACCGGTACCCCCTGTATATAGCCTCGCTATTGTTATTTTACTGCTGCTCTTTAATTATTTGTTACTTTTTTTTCTTTCTTAAAACTGCATTGTTGGTTAAGGGCTTGTAAGTAAGCATTTCACTATAAGGTTGTTGTATTCGGCGCATGTGACAAATACAATTTTATTTTATTTGAATCAGTCAGGAAACACACCTCCAAAACTGAAATAAAATGTTTCTAATGAGCAACAGAAAAACACGTGCCGATGGCATGTTCAGTGGCTCTTTAAATCCTTTCAGTCAGCATATTGTCAGGAATCAGGATACACACCTACTTC